AAAGATGAAGTGAACTGCCTCAAACTCCATAGCTACCAAAAGGCTGTCTGGCACATTGGCAGCCTCTTTTCCTGGGCACTTTACTCCAACTGAATGTCTAAATAGGTGACCAGGATTCTGTCCTTAGCTCTTGTCCATTGACACTGTCTTTGGTTATTGCTTTCAATGGTTCTCAACTATCATCTCTACGGAAATGACTCCCAAGTCTCCACTTCCAAACTCACTCCTTGCCATTCTTTGCAAGCCCCTGGAATGTAGCCTGCCAGGTTCCTCTGTCCATGCAAATTTTCCTAGTAAGAATATTGGAGTGGGTTGCCATTTCCTCCTCTAGGAGATCTTCCCAACCCAGGGATCGACCCCATGTCCCTTGCATTGGCAGGCGGATTCTTTACCACTGTGCCACCTGGGAAGCCTCCATGCTTCACAGCAGCCCATCAATGGTCTGTGGAATTCTCTAACCTCCTACCTGTGTTCCTTCCACTGGCCTGGTGTTGCTCAGGTGTTGGAAGATGACACAAGTTCCAGGGTTGATGCCAAGGGTAAGGAAACAGTAAAAACAAGGTGACAATGGAAGCTGTGGGGGCAGCAGGGGTGGGCATAACAGAGACTTTCAGTCCTGGTATGAAGAAATGATATCCTTATATTGTTTAATTACAAGTCCATGGTGTTAGCACAGATGTCTTCATGACTAATAGACTAAACAACAAAAGCACATGAAACCACCCAGAGTCTCTGCCAATCTCTCCCAGGACAGGGCAGGGGTTGTGCAAAGTGTTTCGCACATTCTGGCTCTTAGGCAACTAGCTGCTTAAGAAACAAAGTTATATATGGGCTTCCCAGGCGGCACTAGTGGTAAAGAACCCACCTGCCAATGCAGTAGACACAAGAGACATGGGTTCCATCTCTGGGTCAGGAAGATCCCCTGGAGGAGAGCATGGCAACCCATGGGACACCTGGAGAATCCCATGGACAGAGGAGCCTGGCGGGCTACAGTTCATAGGGTCACAAAGAGTTGGACACAACTGAAGCAATTTAGCGCACAGTTATATATTTTTATTTGTCTTTTAAAAAAATGTGGAGCTAGTGATTCTAAGCTATCTCGCAGAGGTTTGTATTTTTAAGACAAATTACTCAAATGCATTCCCTGAAGTTCTGCACAGATAATCGCTCACCATTCTGTAATGTTTGTCTCCCTTCCAACCAAAAGAAGTTTACAGTCATAAACTGTAACTTGAAAAGAATAAATTATTCAAACATCATACCCTAATAAACATGAGAAGGAAATGTCTGAACCATTTTCATGTACATGAACATAGTTCTGTGGTATGTAGTAATCTCATCTATCAAATGATATATGTAAAGCATTTAAACTAGCTTTATAATTATATTCTTGTTTGGCAGGTTTGAGTTTGGTTCCCTAGAACAACTTAAGAGTTGAAATATGAATGGTTATTGAAGTTACAGATTTAAAAAAGTTTTTTTTAAGGTTTATACAATGAGTTTTAAAGCTTTGTAGGCAGAACTTTAAACACAGGATCTAGTAAAGTAACCTGAAAGATGCAGGTGGGGGCCATTCCAGTTCTGCCAACAACTATATATCTAACCCCCTGAGATCATAGCTTTCACAGTGGATGTCTCAGCTTTTCACTCTAAAATAAATGCAAGGGCTCTTCAAAGGTTGCCTAGCTATAAAAACTCTAAGACCTACACATAAATTTTGTTGATCATTTCTGAAACATCAGGATTAGAAGTCTACTTCACAGACCAAGAGGAATGAGCTTGTTTACTGGGTCAAGGTGCGAGGCGTGGGGCCTCTGGGAGGTCACAGCCAAACCCCTTCTAGTCTTTCTCCCTTGGGATTGGCTCTCCGGTTAAAAGCATTCTTCTCTGAGGGCTGGTGGTAAAACAGGCCTGGGGATGCCTCCGAGCTTGGGAGGAGCCTGGTCGTGGATAGTGTGCGGGGCGGCACGTCGTCCATTTCTCTCAGGTCTCCAGCAGCAAAGCCACTCCATTCGTTTGCTTGGATCTGCCTTTCCTAGCCATTGGGTGGTAAGATCTCAAAGGCTGAGATCAGGTTGGAAGTGCAGGTGAGAGTCTAAAGGACCACTGAGTATATTCTAAATGTTTTAATGGGCCAGGAATTCTCAAATCTGCCTGCACAGAGCAAAGAGCAGCGCTCAGGATCCCCCCCAGAATAATTAGACCAGACTTCAGAGGCAGGGCCCAGGCATCTGTAGTCTTTAAAAAAGATTCTTCAGGTATAATATTAGGTCAATACAGAAAAGCCTGACTGCCTGATAGTTCAGTTGGTAAAGGATCCACCTGCAATGCAGGAGACCCCAGTTTAATTTCTGGGTCGGGAAGATTCCCTGGAGAATGGATCTACCCACTTCAAGAATGCTACCCACTTCAAGTATTCTGGCTTGGAGAATTCCATGGACTGTATAGTCCATGGGGTCACAAAGAGTCGGACACTACTGAGCAACCTTCGCTCACTCACTCTCATCTCATCTGTAGCACAGGCAAATTTTCTTTGAATAATTCTGCTATGAATGGTAGAACATGTTATTTATAAAAATATAAAAGACATGAAACAAAAATACATGATTGCTAATGTTTTGATTGTATTCAAATTTTTTATTTTTTGAAAAACTTAAGACAGTGATTTTAAATAATAAACATGGTATATTATAGACACTTTTTTTTAGACAGTTTATTAAATTGGGACTCCTACAGTTCTGCTGTGATGCTTTCTTCAACATGTACATAATTTCTTATCATTTTATCATCACTTCAAACTTGCTAATAAACAAACAATTGCTCTGTCTGCTTAAGTGAAGCTTCATTGGAAGGAAATACTCCACTATCACATAAAAAACACATATACAGAACAGTCATTTTTTTATATTTACAAACACAAGAAGTTTGTCCAGCCATTTTGGTTTTGCTGTTACACCGCCCATACTGAGATCAGCAAAAAACTAAGGAATAAGCAAGATTTCATTTCAGCAGTGCAAAAAGATGGCATCAACCAAACTTCATTAAACAAAACCAACAAATCACAAACATGGTCAGCAGAATTCAGCTTGTATGACAATGACTTAAATAAACAGAGTGGGTCACAACTAGACTGGTTTGCACTGTGCAACTTTCCTCAGGGCACAATACTACCCCCCATTTCACATAGAAAGGAATATGCATCAAAGCCTTTGTTCATGAAGAAAATGCCCTTCAAACAAATTCATCATAAGGCAAAAAAAAAAAAAAAAAAAGAATGAAGCAGTTTGGCCCAGAGAAAGCTTGCATATAATGTGTACACACAGTATATACAGGTTTACCAATATACTGCAATTTAAACCATGTATATACTCATTACACAATTAAATGAAACTGGCTCAGTAAAGTGAAAAAGTATTCATATAAATATGTAGTTATTGCTAATAAGTGACACATTATGTTTTGACATGGAAACTGCAGAAACTTAAAAAGTGTTTGAAGCTGCCATATTGCCAGTGTCAGCCCCGCAGCAGGCATTCATATGGACAACATGCCATCCGTTCCTGAAGAAAAAGCGAAAAAGTTCCACTACAATTAAAAAAAGAGAGAAAAAGGCTTATGCACTGTCCCTTACACTTTTGCCTTTTTTTTTTTTTTTAAAACAAAAATAAGTCCAGTTCACCACAAGTTAAGCACAACCTGACAAGCGAGTTTAGCGGCATGATGGGGGGAGAATAGTGAAACAGAGCATGCATTTACAACCGGCACTGTTCTAGTCTATTTTGTCATACAAACTGGAATACAAAAATCCAATTTAAATAAGACTAGACTAACAGGAATTAAAAAAAAAAAAACACACACAGTAGACTTAGTTGGATACTGATTAATTTTAAGAGTAAAACTCATTCTGTCCCCTCTTAATACTCTACTGCAATTTATTTCTTGATGGCTAGAATATTTATTTACTTAAAAAAGATATTAAATACCTGTATCATGAAATTACATTCTTTTTAACAATAAGACAGACTGTGTAAGAAAATAGCTCATGTGTGAAATGTGTCTGAAATGCATTTTTCCTCACAACTATCAAAACATCCACTCACACTAAAACAAACCCCCCTCCCCCCACCCCCTGACAAAAAGTTAAGTTAAGATGGGGTGGGGCAGGCGAGGAGCAGGGAAGGAAAGATTCACCAGCACAGTGATTAACAATGGTTCAAGACAGAACCAACAAGAGTTGGTCAAAAAGATGCCTTCGAGACATGGCTACAATTAAAAACCAAACTCAACCACTTTTGGTTCATTGCGGTGAGACCGAAAAAATATTTCTCACAGATTCATATAAATACTAGACTCCAGCTCTCTTGTTATTATTACTGTTAAAGTTTTTTCCGTTTGTTTTTGCAAGGCCTAGCTACCATATTACAATTTATATTTGCTCTGCAACGACTACAAGAGGTAGGCATGAAGCATGAAAAAGTTTCTCAGTTAGTACCTCGTTGTGGGTGCTTCACTTCATAATACCTTTCACTTTAGACATGAAAAGGGATTACACTTTCTAGTCTCTTCTAACCACCCCAACAAAACTGCTGCCATCTCATACATGTTCTAAGAGAGTGTACTCACCAGTAAGAAACTTTCTCTACTGAAGGATACTGTCATAGTGTTTGTTGCAGAACATTCATTTATATATAGATTTATTTAAAAAAATAAACAACAACAACAAAAACCGAACCCAGGTTCCTAGAACCAATTCTCTTGATTCTCTACTTCCACAAAATAAAATATAACCATTTGGCCAAGACTACAGATGTGTTTTTTTTTTTCTTCCTTTTTTTTTTTCTTTTCACAGATGCAAGCGCCATGCAAAAATAAATTAAAGAACAGATACCAAAACATACATGTGATAAAACTACTGAAGGTAGATTTTTTTAAAAGTATTTATATAAACATAATTTATAATACTTCTCTTTTCTCCTTTATGTACAGTCACAAAGCTGTAGTTATACATCTAGAATTTCCTCAGCTGTGCCTCCACAGCGCAGTCTGTAGCGACCAGTTCTCCAGCTTATCGTTGGGTCCCATAATGCCGACAAAAAGATGTATATTGTCATGGATTCACGGATGAACCAAGCTACTGCGTAGTCAAGTTTTGAAAAACACAGTGTGCCACCCTAGGAATTAAAAACACAAATTATTTACTGCCTGATTACAGACCCAGTTAAAAAGTGAAATGCTTCCATTTAACTCCATTAAATACATTACATAAAATCAAGTTTGGGGCTTCCCTGGTGGCTCAGTGGTAAAGAATCTGCCTGCCAACGCAGGAGACATGGGATCGATCCCTGATCCGGGAAGATCCCTTGTGCCACGGAGCAGCTAAGCCTGTGCTCCTGAGCCCAGGAACTGCAGCTACTGAAGCCTGTAGACCCTAGAACCTGTGCTCCACAACAAGAGGTACTGCAACGAGAAACTCATGCACCACAACTAGAGAGGAGCCCCTGCTTACTGTGACTACAGAAAATCCCAAGCGACAAGACCCAGCACAGCCAAATATAAAATAAATAAATAAAAACTATTTAAAAAATATCAAGTTAGCTTCTTTAGATAATGTAACTGTCATGTTATACTGGTTAAGAAAAATGTTCATTAGGAATAGAAGCAGTATTAAAATAAACAGCTACCCTAACATATTTTAAGTTTGAAGACTTGTCAATTTGCTTTAATATCATTTTTTCTGGAGTCTTCATAAAAGTGACTGTATAACCAGCTGAAAGCTGAAAATCAAGTTCCGTTTTATGTCCACAGTCTGCTAAGGAAACTAATGCTTAACTTGATTTTAATCTTCACTGGGGGGCTGAAAAATGGCTCAGACAGATTTTCAACTTTTTCTAAATCAAAACTATTTTAGTTCCACCAAATGACCTCCAACCTTTGCACACCTCTCCACATACCTGGACACCCCTGAGTTGAATGTAGTCAAATATAAACCATGCCAGGCAATGACACATGAAAAATACCATAATATCCCATCTGAATACATGGTGGGCTGCCCATCCAATAATTAAACTGGCAACAAAGCATTCTGAAATTGGCTCGCAAATTATTGTAGCAGGAAGCATGTTAATTCGCAATTTGGTCCACCTTGGGAAAAAAAAAAGTATTTTCTTTAAACAACAGCCTGATTACAAGACTGACCAATTTTTCTCAAAATGATCAACATTATACCCTGTTATTTAAAGGCCTTTTATATACGCTTTAAAGAGTATTTAATGAATCACTTTTCTATTTTTATTTAGTGTCTCAAAGAAAAATGTCTATCAATTCATTTGCATGTCCTATACTCTGATGAGTAAAGATCATCAAATTCCAGGAGTAAAAGAGTTAGAAAATAGAGGTCAGCATAAAAAACCCCAAAGTCTCAACATCTCTTTTTTGAAAGCTTACAATGGAAAGAAAATACCCTGGGACAGTAACTTTATTTTAATGAAGAAGTTAACTTCTCTTTTCTGGAACAAAACAAAATCTGACTTTTCGTTTGTTTTTTTTTTAACCAAGTTAAGACCATGTAAAAATATTCCCCATTCCCTTTTTCTTTTAATGAAGTATAAAAAGAAGAAAGCCAGCTGACTTACCTGATCATTCTGGACTGAAATTGAGAAATTGAATACGAGCCAGAGTTTTGCATTGCAACTTGAGTGGACATTGCAAACCTCCAACCTCTGAAAATTAAGACAGTTATAAAATGAGCTATGATCATGAACACATATATGCAAGGATGACAGGTATATGTATTTATTCATCACTGTAAAGAGTAAGCAGCTTCATTTACAGTAGCCAAGATATGGAAGCAACCTGTCAATCAGCAGATGAATGGATAAAGAAGATGCATTCCAGGCATACAATGGAATATTGCTTAGCCATGAAAAAGAACGAAATCTTGCCATTTACAACAATGTGGATGGACATACAGGGTATTAAGCTTAGTGAAATAAGTGAGACATAGAAAGACAAATATTCTGTTATCACTTATATGTGGAATTTAAAAAATAAATGAGTGGCTAAACAAAAAAGAGACTCACAGAGTTAGAGAACTACTGGTTACCAGTGGGGAGAGGGAACGTGGGAGGGGCAAGATAGAGGAAACGGATGAAGAGATACAGACTACTATGTATAAAATAAATAGGCAACAAGGGTATATTGTATAGCACAGGGAAATACAGTCATAATTTTGCTATAACTTTAAAAATGGAGTATAATATATAAAAATACTGAATCACTATGTTTTACACCTAAAACTTTATAATACTGTAAATCAGCTGTTCTCTTTTTTTTTTTAAGTGAGCAACTGCCAGTGTTCAGGGTGAGCCTCATCCCAGGATAGCACCTTACATAGGGTGTATTATACTTAAAAACATTTCAGTCATTACAGAAGCCCATGACAGTACCACCTAAGAACTGGAAGGAACTACAACCCCTCAGTTCACAGTTTAATAAACTTAAAATACAGACATTCTGAAAGTACTAAATGGAGTGGGGCCTGTATTTAACAGTCTCTGAACACTATTATCCAAAAAAAGGAGTAGTGGGGGATATGTATGTGAATATTCAAGAAGAAATATAAACAAAAGTGGCACCTTCCACATCTCATGAGAAACAATATGAAACCACGGACCATACTAACACCACCAGAAGATAAGTTTGAAAACATACTTCAACTTTTAAGATCACACCTTCAGTAAATTATCACACAAGGAAATAATCCCATTTAAAGAAGCAAATGAGTGTCATTTTGTGATAGAGAAGTGTGATTAAGCCAATCGTGAATCATTAAGTAGCTTCTTAGCAAAGTATCAAATAATCTACTGAGAAATTTCAAAATTTGAAATCTCATTCTTTAAATTTTCACCTACTGGCTTTATGATTGCACTGATACTTTTAATTCTTCTAAAACACATAAAAATTTACATTCATAATAATGAAAATTTACAGTCACAGAGACGCTTCAATTTAACCACTTCAAATCACCTAAATTTTTTTTAAGAGTTTACATGTATTTATTTTTTAAATTGAAGTACAGTTAATTTACAATTTAGTTTTCAAGTGTACAGCAAAGTGATTCAGCATATACTGGGTTGGCCAAAAAGTTTTTCCGAAAACCCCAAACGAACTTTTTGGCCAACCCGGTATATACTACATATAGGTGTGCTATACAGTAGGTCCTTGTTTACTTGATGATGGTGGTTTAGTCACCAAGTCTTTTTCAATTCCTGTGGCCCCATGGACTGTAGCCCACCAGAGTTCTCTGTCCATGGGATTTCCCAGGCAAGAATACTGGAGTAGGTTGCCATTTCCTTCTCCAGGGGATCTTTCCTACCAGGGATCACACCTGCATTGCAGGCAGATTCTTTACCACTGAGCCGCCAGGGAAGCCCCCTATTTTATATACAGTAGTGTATATACATTAACCCCAAACTCCTAATTTATCTCCTCCCCCGTCCTTCACTATCCCCTTTGGTAAACATTAAGTTTGTTTTCTATGTCTGTGAGTTTACGATATTTGTCTTTCTCTGTCTGACTTACTTCACTCAATATGATAACCTTTCGGTCCATCCATGTTGCTGCAAAAGACAGTATTTCATTCTTTGTTTATGATTGAATAATATTCCATTACATATTCAGATCACATCTTCATCCATTCATCTGTCAATAGGCATGTGGGTTGCTTCCATGTCTTGACTATTGCAAATAATGCTGCTATGAACACTGGGGTGAATGTTATCTTCAAATTAAGACTTTTCTTCAGAAATATGCCCAGGAGTGAGACTGCAGGATCATATAATAACTCTATTTTTAGTTTTTTAAGTAAATTCCATACTGTTTTTGAAACTGCATTAATTTGAAGAACGTAGAGAAATTAGAACATTTATTTGCTTCATTAGTGTGTACCTGAGTAATTAGTAGGAATTACATTATAAAAGTATTAAACTATTCTGTACTTACTAGCAAAAAATAAAATAGCTCTAACCCATGGGTTTAACAAACAGAAAAAGCCAACATAAGTTCGGAAATAAAAAATCCAACAGCCTAATTTGATTTAATTTTCTTACCGATCAGCTATTGCTTTGGCCATAAAGTAATCTTCAGCAATATATTGAGCAAAAGCTATAAGCCCTCCTGCTTGATCTAACACATCCTTTCTCATTAAACAAGACATTCCCGTCACACATTTGAAACCAGTGACATTGGCAGAGATATAGGACCTTGGATGAGAGGTTCCAAAATACACCTGCCAAGACAAAACCAAAAACATATGTATACAATTAGAAGTTTATGTTAGAAGTATAATGTTTATAAATTCCTCTTCCTAATGAACTTAAGAATGATTGGGTGAACAGTCTATTATTCTTACATAAACTACCTAAATAAACAGTGGTACAAAATAATGTTTACATATAGCAAGCAGTCAGTAATTTCTAATTTGATTGACTACTCTTGTTGTTATCACTTTTACAAACAAGTAGTATGTACTTCTGGGAGGGAAAAGTATACTTTATTCTCAAATAAATACTGTCTTTCCTAAAACTCCAAGATTTAAAGATTTATTGAAGTAAAACAATTTGGATTTAAATAAGAGAGGTGAAAATATCACTTACTGATATACAATATTGATATTTAATGTGTCTTCTTTTCATACTGTTCACATAAATATATACACATCTACATACATAGGTATATGGACATATGTGTATGTGTATATGTATGCATGTGGCTATACACACACACACAGACAACACTAACAGGTACATCAACCAAGAGAACAATCCTATTTCTTAATTTCTTTTCCTGTCTAGTTTTGTAGTAGCTGTTTCCTGCCCATGTCACTAAGCTTCTCAAATTCCCCATTTTTCAGTGTATTTTTCATAAACAGGGTGGACACTAATATTCTGTCTCCCATTTTACTGCCCCTTTCCTAGAGTGCCTTGCAGTCATAAAAAATGCAAACTGCTAAATTAATGGTAGAATAAAATGGTCATCCAAACTTACCCAACTTATCAGATATAAAACCTACTTATTATTTATATCTTAGAAATGTTGCCTTTTCTAATTAGTCATCTCTGTATCCTAGGGGGATTGGTCCTACCTGAAGCCCTGGACCAAAAATCCACCAATACTATTTGTGTATTATCTACACCTGTCAGATTACTTACCATACCTAATACAATGTAAATGCTATGTAAATAGTTTCTGGCTCAAGGCAAATTCACATTTTGCTTTTGTAACTTTTTTTTCAAATACTTTGAGTCTACAGTTGGCTGAAGCCACAGATGTAGAACTCACAGACATGGAGGGCAATAGCAGCTCGAAATGGAGACAAGTGATCTTTCTTAAAGGCATAGAATAAGCTAATCATCACAGATGAAGAATGCAATTCTTCCTACCTAACCTATACCCAGACTGGAATGAAGCCCTAGTATTTGTGGGATAGAAATGAACCAAACTTCTAAAACTAAAAACTCCTATCTTAACTCCTTAAGCAGTTATTAAGTGAGGTTTTAGGAATGAGGTGGGACTGGGCACTATGATGAAGGCTCCCACGATTTCTTTACAGACTGGAATAATTCCTCGGGCCTATCTTCATTTACTTTAAGTATGACAGGGTGACTTTTAGGGATTAAACTTAAACTAAGGGAGTGAGTATAATCTGGGAGATATCTATTATTGACATACATATCAAGTTGGATATTTCCAAAACAAAAACATAACATGGAGCATAAGAATAAAACGCATTTAATTTTAAAGCAACTACCTAGAGTTTCTTTACTAAACAATAATTGTGGTATCTGGGCTTCCCCAGGGTCTCGGTGGTAAGCTTGCAGTGCAGTAGATGCAGGAGACTCGGGTTGGATCCCTGGGTCAGGAAGATCCCTGGGAGGAGGGCATGGTAACCCATTCCAGTATTCTTGCTGGGAAAATCCCATGGACAGAGGAGCCTGGCAGGCTATAATCCATGGGGTCACAAAAGAATGGGACAGAACGGAAGCAACTGAGCATGCATATACATGTATGATTCACACTGCCAAAGGTTGAATGCAAGTTTCTACACTGTACCTTCACCCTCAGATGATTGCAATTCAAAAGAATATAAATACAGATATGATTCAAGTTGGTATATTTGGAGACTGAAACTATATACCCTTCTGTTATAACTTTAAGACAAGTCTTTTCTCCTAATGTTTAACAGCACAGGAATGATTAAGTATAGGACACACTTATATAACAAACTATGATCGAGCCAATAAAAATTACTTTTATAAAATAATATTAATGATATGGGGAACAGTTTATGAAGTACAAGAATAAGACACAAATTAGATTTAGTATAATATCAACTTTGCTTTTTAGAAAGTACACAAAGGAAAAAAGTCTTAATGCTAAAATAAACTAATTTTTAAAAATAAAAACTTCCTCTAACTGGCAGGGTTTCTGGGAGTGGTTTGTGTTTTGATTTATTCTGCTTATTATACTTCCTCCTAACTTACAGTAAGTGTCCTACACATAAGTCTGTATACTGTTAAAAGGTGTGGAGTAAAAATGGAAAACATGAGTTGTTCAGATAATTTTTAGAAATCTGTTGTAGAAGGAAATCAAGTGGATTTTACAATGATTCATATGAGCAATTTTCCTTTTTTTGTATATATTGAAATACTTCATGAAACTTAAAATGCATTCTTTTCAGACTGGATCTTTGAAAGAACTGTTAACACATACTTTTATGTAAGTCAGTAATCTGGAACTGAACTCAAGAACTGAAAGTAAGGACCACAAGGCAAAAGAATATACGGTGCTAAGCTGGTGATAAGACCACAAGGTGTTTCCTGGGCACATCTGTTCCTTGCCAGAGCACAGTTCAGCTGGGAGGGATTCCGGGGCCCCAAACGTTTGTTCACTAATGAAAACAGCTCCTGTCAACTTAAGGCTGCCAGTACTCAGCAGGTTGTGTGCGTGCTACGTCGCTTCCATCGTGTCCAACTCCTTGCGACCCTATAGTCTGTATAACCACCAGGCTCCTCTGTTCATGGGATTCTCCAAGCAAGAATACCGGAGTGGGTGGCCATGCCCTTCTCCAGGAGATCTTCCCGACCCAGGGATGGAACCTGCATCTCTTGTGTTTCCTGCACGGGCAGGTGGGTTCTTTACCACTAGTGCCACCTGGGGCGCTCACTCAGCAGGTTAAAGCAGACTTCATACAGTTAAGTCCAGGCACCTCAGCCCACTCTCAGCATAGCCTCAAGCTTCTGGGAGATGAGGGATCTGATAAAAAGCATATCTATAGGCACTGTACTTACCTGTTCTAATGTAGCAGCAAAGCCCTGTCTGTCTGCTACATATGGCAGCCCATGAACCAGCCCTACTTTTTCTGTCATTTGGTTAACCATGTCCGTGAGTGTGTCTGGAATCACTATGATGGAAAAGAAAAGGTTCAGAGGGAGAGAGGAAAAAATTTCCTTTTAGTAAAATGCCCATGAATGTAATATATTCTGTGATTTACTAAATTCTTAATAAATGTTTTCTTTGAATATAGGTCTAATAAAATGAATCTCAATCACTTTTCTGAGTAGAATAGAAAATTTCAAAAAGGCTAATATGTGGTAGGGAATTTATTCTGGACCTTTGCAGGCTGTTAAATACCTAATATGTACCAGAGGTGGGATGTATCTTGAAAATGTTAACAGTCCCTGTTTCTGAACCTCCAGACTGGAATAGTGGACAATGTGTTCTAGTGGAAGATACAGGAGCAAAAGTCAAAGGACCTCAGTGTTCATTCTGGCTCCTGCATCCCAATCATAGGAAATGAGCCTCCTCTTTCTGAGAGTATGAGATGTTCTTTCTCTTAAAACTGCTAACTAGAACTGAATGAATATACCCGATGGAGGTTTCTACACTGAAAACATAACAAATATATGACAGTAAACAATTTAAGACAGCAGATGTGAAAAATGAACCTAATCTCTGACCAAGAACTGTTAGTCCTGTAATGATCTAATTAAGTTGAAGTGCCACATTTATTACTAACTTTCAGATTTTAAGCTGATAAAATTTAAATCATTGTCCCATTTTTAAAGAGAAAAAATTTCATATGATTTTACATGACTTCATTTTTATTTCCTTCAAGTATTTAAGAACTCAATCTACTGTATAAAATTGCATCTGGGCCTTATATATACATGTAGTCTGGGAAGTGCTTCTCAACTGCTGCCCTGCAGGGGACATGTGGTGTGTCCAGAGACAGTTCTGATCATCACAACCAACAGAGAGGTGCCACTGGTAGGGGCCAGGGATGCTGCTAAAACATCTGCAGGATGGCCTTGACTACAAAGAATTACCCAGAAAAAACTGAGGCGTTAGAATATAATGGAATAATATGGAACACTGAAATTATAAATGTTTTTAAAATGCAAAAATACAAATTATAATTTCAATAAATAAAAGGTGTCCTGCTAAAATCTGTTAAGCAAAAAGCCATGAATGTGTTCTAAAAATGTATGTAATTCCAGTAAAATATGTACCAATTAACTTCTGTCCCTTTGCATGAGATAGTATACTGCACATGCCACAAACAGATTAAAGATAAGTATCACTTGAATAAGGGAAAACTTAGACCTATGAAAAGGCTCATAGACTGTATAATGTACCACAACTGTTTTTTTTTTAAATGGTTGGAATTTTGTCTTCAAAATGAAAGCATTTTCTAATTTAGTATAAAAATACCACAAAATTTTAGTAAGTATAACTTGACATACTACCATGAAATAATGATAAAATAACTTACTTTATCAGGTAAAGAAATATGATTGATAAATGTATTTTCAGGTTGCTCTTGGCATTTTATTATTGAACGAATGATTTTATAAAATAAGTAAGAAAAAACCTCACCTCTTATTCCACTATCACAAATCCATATAAGATCATACTTCGCAACTTCATATCCTGGCATTAAGTTATTAATCTTAGGATTAATGCCAACCTTTTTGCCACCTAAAATTTTAAAGTATAGCAGTGAACAATTCATGTCATTTTGAAAATATTTTCTATTATACATATACCTAGTAGAGAGAAGTGCAAAGTACTTGCATATTTAATAATTAAAACAAATATACTTTAACATCATGCTTCTTATTATTCACAATAACATATTAGAAAAAAGTTCATTCTCAAAAAGAAAAGCACATCATTTATCTTTGAAAATTCATTAGTTTCAGTTTTCTAATTAAGAGCTTGTGTTAACAGGAAACACTAATCAACATTTAATAGCAAGTATACCTCCAACAGGGTATATTACAAAAATGAATTCTACCACTCAATCTCAATTATAATCAATGAGATATAGAAAAGGCCATAGATTGGAATTATTAAAGAAACAAAAATAACAGACTCTCATGTGTGACTGATGAGTAAAACAAATTTGGGATAATTTTGTTAATCCCTGATATAAAAAACAATATTTGTATTTATAACTTGTCTTCTCTAAAGGATAGAAACACCTTTCACTATATCTAACAAATATGCATAAGTAAACATGTTAATAACTTCAATGGTGTCTAGGACCCTAATCTACAGTTTAATGCAAAGATGATATAATATATTAAAGCAAAAAGGTTATTGTAAAATGTGTTACTTACCTATAAACAATCTAGCATCAACATTTGGATATTTCCCAAGAAGCTTCTTACACACATCAATGGCTGGATCATCATGGTCTTGGACACAGAGGAGTACTTCATACTAGTCAAAGAACATATTTTATGTAAATTAACCTCTTACAAAGATAACTACTTATTATTAGCATTTACTGGTGGATCAAAAAGCATTAAGAAAAACAAGCAACTGTACAAAGTTTAGAAGTTAAGAGAGTATTCATAATGGATGCAAACACTTAAGGGATTATCAAGTGTTGCTTTAACTGAGAGCAACTTCTCCAGAAGGGGCCTGTTTGCCAGCCAAAGAGAGAATGGAGAGATTGGCAGGGCCCACAGCTGAAGTGTGGCTGGATTCCCAGCTTCTCCATGCCATTATCACTGAAAACTTACCAAATGCTCACAGGGTGGCCAGCAGTGTAAAAGCAACACAGAAAGCCAGAGAAACGAATACACCCTTTGTTCTCTAGAAGCCTTGTCTCTGAACTTACTATTGTTTCATCAAGGTGCTAAAAATTACACATCAAAGACCATTATGATACATTTAAAGGGCTTTCCCAAACTCTTCCAAGACAAAGTGACATTAGATTTTCTGTTGAATAATAATTTTCTGAAGTAAAATAGAACCTGACTTGATTAAAAATGCAGGGATTCCCAGGTGGCTCAGTGGTAAAGAATCTAACTGCCAAAGCAGGAGACATGGGGGACATGGGTTCCATCCCTGCGTCGAGAGGATCCTCTGGAGGAGGAAATAGTGACCCACTCCAGTATTCTTGCCTGGGAAATCCCCAAAACAGAGGAGCCAGGGCTGGGGGCGGGGGGAGAGGTTTGCAGAGTTGAAAGCAACTGAAAGCGCGCGCATGTACACACACACACACACACACAAGTATGCACATATCCTCCTGAAGAGCATGCTTAGCCGTTTAACTATGAAACCACCCAGGATTTAATTTTGCTCAGAACTATGTTTACTCTGACAGTAAATTACGGAAGTCATTCCTTAGCACTTGGCTGGCTGGGTCAAAATCATCCTGGGACAGTTTTTTCCAAAAACAGAATACTGGGCCCCATCCCTAAACTTTTGAATCAGAATCTCTGAGGTGATTCTGACACATAATCAGGTTTATAAAATCCAGAGCTCTAAGTTACGATTTTGTAAACTACCAAAGTTTTTTAAAAAGTGTTTGCTTTCACCCATAAAGATGTTACTGTATTAGTGTGTGGGCTATGTATTCTAAGCAGTAACTTTTTTCAAAAATGGTGATAAATTCTCACTGACTCTAAATCAAATTTCCTACCAAACTCTCTAAGATAGATTGAACATTTTTAAGCAGAGGAGGAAAGTTAATTATGTCCACGAAAAAAGATAACAAAGCTATATGATCTAAAAAATACAAAGGTGGCTCATCGGTAAAGAATCCATTTGCAATGCAGGAGATGCAGGTTCAACCCCTGGGTGGGTAAGACCCCCTGGAGAAGGAAAAGATAACCCATTCCGGTCGGTATTCTTGCCTGGGAAAATTCCATGGACAGGGGAGCCGGGTAGGCTACAGTCCATGGGGTCACAAAGAGTCGGACATGACTGAATGACTAAACAAACAACATACGAGGAAGAAGGTAATGGGAAGGCTTGTTTGATTTAGTTCCATTGATAAGCATACACAAGTAAAAAGTGTGGAAAAAATGCATACAGTGCCTTGAGCGCAATAATTAATTACTGTCCGCCTAATATACACTATCCCAGCAAAAAGTGGCAGCATAGAATTTAATAGTTGAGCACTTAAGGACCAGGACTAAGGTAAATGAAAGTTTAGCTAACAAGGTAAGATTTTTTTTTTCAAGTGAAAAAAAAAATGTTTTCTTAATAATTTAAGTAGAGGGGAAAGCAATGTACACTTTCCTTATACTTTCTACCTATAGTTATTACACATTCCATCCAATATCTACCTTCATGATTGACCAAAATTACCACCTGAGAGGCACTGAAATATAACTAAGCAACTTTACAGCCACTGGTCTCCAGAAATCAGATAAAAATCTGAGAACAGGATGAGTACCATTCCTGCCACACCCTAAAATTTCTTCAAAGGTTGACTCTAAGTCCCATAAAACATCAGCCATCTTCCCAACCAAAATTTTTGCTTGAACCACCAAGAGGCAGTGACCTTAATGATGAAGATTAGAAAGGTTAAGTGGCTTCCCTGATGACTCAGCAGGTGAAGAATCCACCTGCAATGCAGGAGACAAAGGAGATGGAAGTTCGATCCACGGGTCAGGAAGATCCCTCAGAGGAGAAAGTGGCAACCCACTCCAGTATTCTTGCCTGGGAAATCCCATGGACAGAGGAGCCTGGCAGGTTACAGTCCAAAAGGTCACAAAGAACTGGACATGACTGAACACACACACACACACACACACACACACACACACGCACGTGACTTTTCAAAGGGTGTAAATAACGATTTGCCTTCCTACGAAGTGAGCCTCTCAGTCATGCTTGCTCTAAAGAGTTCAGTTTTTTCAAACATTGCATACATAGTTCTATGCTTTTAGAGTTTATGCGGCTTTACAGGTGTAAGTGAATATAGTGAAAGAAAATGTTTACAAGTAATACAATTCCATACAATATTATTGAAAATCTTTCAGCCATTTCCCCAGCAAAAGAAAACACTGTAATATAGGACTAGACATCTACTTGACGGTAAGATAAAAGCTATACTAGGTTGCAGCAAAAACTTTTCAGAAGTAATATAGTGTTAGTATGAGCAAGGGAGGTGTCTGTGTGTGTGTCAGCCATTCAGTCAGGTCCAACTCTTTGCTACCCTATGGACGGCAGCCCCCTACTGCAGCCTCTGTCCTTGGAATTCTCCAGGCAAGAATACTGGAGTGAGTGGCTATTCCCTTCTCCAAGGGATCTTCCCGAATTCAAATGCAAGAGTTGGAATTTTTCTTTTATTGATTATGTATCTTAAACTTAATTTCAAATGAAAAACAAATACCTCCTTATTAGCCAAAAAATGCAAATGAAATTCAATTTACATCATCTAAAAAATGTTCAGACTCTTATTAAATAACTTTCGCTTTGTTGTTTCTGATATCGAATTAAACCAAATTGGAGGTAGTATTCCAAGTGTTCTCTGAAGTGTTAGATTTTAACCTGGAACCTTCATTTTCAGCTCTGTGTTTGAGCTCTGGGTTTGCCAGAGCCCAAACATGTAATTTGCTAGGAATCTCTGTATTTGAATAGTTAAATCATGCCAACTACACTGCAACTGGTAAACACAAGATTGTAAGTTGGTTAAAAGTTTTCTTAACTGACACAAGAATAATTTTTCAGATACGTTTATACTACCAAAAGAACATACATATAAACATAAAAATAACATAAACATAAAAATAAAGCATTTATTAAAAATATTTTAAGAAAACATTTATTTTATAAATCTGAAAGAAATACAAGGTATAGTAAATTCCACTATAAATGGGCACAGTAATAAATACATACAATCTAGAAATAATCCCAGAATGTTGTAGATGAGGTTAACCTCATCTTAGTAAGCTTTCTATACAAATAGCTAAACTAAATTTCCCTTTTTCTTTTCAAACAATGAAATGACTGAAAGCCTAAGTCCAAGAGAGGTATAGACAAAGTCCAAGAGAGGTATAGACAATCTGTAAACTGCAATTTGGTCCTTTGATATTTAAGAATGAAATATCTGAAACTGCAATAATCATACATGTTACTTCCATGAATAAATTTAGATGCATAAATGATACTCAATTTAGATACATAAATTAATATTAGAAAAATCTCCTCAATGATTCAGTCCTGTAGATATTAGGACAAAAAACTGTACTGCAGTAAATCATATAAAATATTCTCTTAAAGTAGAAAAATATTTTAACACCTATTAATCAATTATATTGCATATCAAGTAGGAATATCTTGAACCATTTATAAATAACTACACATTTAAAGAAAAATGTTATGATGATATTTAGATTATAGCAGAATATAATTAGTTCTGTAACAGGATGGACTTAGACCCCAAATGTCTAGAACAGTCTCTGCCACTGAGTAAATAATGAACCATTTGTTAATACATTTGTCCTAGGGTAAATTTTGAGTGAAAGATAGATGCTTCCTTTGAGTGAGGGGAAGATACTTTGTAAGAAAACTGCTCTGAATTCAAAGTTTTGACAAGTTATTATTACAACTTACTTGCTTTCAAGAACTATATAGTTTATACAATTTTTCAAATTTATCTGGTAAAGTTCTAGTCTTTCAGAATTAATAGTTTTATTACATGTATTATGCTGATCTTTCAATAATTGAACCTATTTTCAATCTTCTACAATTCTTTATTGTCATCACTGACAATAAAGAATCCAAGTATGCCACCAGACTTTCAACACTATAAACCCATCTCCTATTTGCAAAAAAGAAAATAAAATCACAATTACCATAACCTCAATCTGTTAATAACTCTGATCATTAATTTTAAAATTCTTCATACGGCCACAATTTACTAGAGTAAAGCCATCAGGCCACTTGAGATGCAGATTACTGCATCTTTCTGATATGGCTGAACTTCTCTCTAAATGCCTTCTTTTATACTAATGCCAAATAAACAATCGATTTTGTGAAAATTAGTTTTATTTATTTTTTATTATTATATTTTTCTAACAAAAAAATTTCCCAGGGAATAAATATCAATATAAGGTAGATTTATAAGATATTTAAAGCACAGATATCTTTTAGGGCACTTAGTATAATAACAGTCTCACCAAACTTTAAACCTAGAAATTCAGAACAAGTACCAGTAAATAAACCTTTTTGCACATGTCTAAAACTAAACAAAATTTTAGAATTTCGAGTTTTTTATATATATATATATATATATATGCATGCGTGTGTGTGTGTGTATGCACGTGTGTTCAGTGGCTTCACACGTGTCCGACTCTTTGTGACCCCGTGGACTGTAGCCCGCCAAGCTCTTCTGTCCATGGGATTCTCCAGCAAGAATACTGGAGTGGGTTGCCATGCCCTCCTCCAGGGGATCTTCCCCACCCAGGAATCGAACCTGCATTTCTTGCCTCTCCTGCATTGTCAGGTGGGTTTTTTTTTTATCACTAGTGCCACCTGGGAAGTCATATATATATTTCCAAATGGCTTATAAGGTTCCACATCAAATTAATAGGGAAAAAAAGTTATATCTAGAACAAAAACATTTCTGTACTTTTGGAAAACAATGTTTACATTTGACAAATTATTAAAGTCTCCTGGGCTTGGCAGTTACACAAATGTTCATTTTGTGACTACATGCCTCCTTGATAACACAAACATCTCACACTCAGATTTGTGCAATTTCAGTGGCTTAATTTGTCTCTTGTAGAATATTTGCCACTGTGCAAATAAAATGCTGTGAGATCAACATTTTCCTTTAGAGTGCAGGTACTCTGCACTTTTTCTCTGTTTTCTAAATGTCCTATTTACACAATAACAATTCTTTTATAATTAGAAAATAAAAGTGTGAACTAAAAAAGAATAAAAACAATCTCTTGCATATAACATGCATTTTTGTAATGTGTCCGTACAACTTTCTCCTTAACCAAATAAATGCCTTAATGACATAACTAAGTGGAAAAGAACTAAGTGACAAGAATCTAAGTGAAAAACTATAGCTCTGGAGATAACTCCAGATTGTATTTAAAAAAAAAAAACAAAAAACAAAAAACTTCATTCAGAAGAAGAAATTGGTTATTGATTCATCCCACATGTTCATAATTAACAGATACATATTTTCCTGGGGTTATTTTAAGAAACTCTTTAAATCCACAGCTAACTTCGGAAACTATTTAAATTTAATGACTATTATCTTACAAGAGTGGCAACATAAAAATTTTGTAACTAAGTTTCAAGAGTGTTTGAATACAGAAAGGGAAAAGGGTTAGATGATGGTTAAAAAAATTGAAATGTGAGATCAAGTTCCACAAGGATAAATGCATATCCTTTTTCATTTTCACTGCAACTCTCATGAAGTAAGATTTTTATACTCAAACTACCAGGCACTTAACAATGCCTGAGTTCCAGGAGCTTTACTCAGGGATTTCTAATTCATTCAGATCAGGGGGATTCCCTGTGGCTCAGCTGGTAAAGAATCTGCCTGCATTGCAGGAGACCCAGGTTTGATCCTTGGGTTGGGAAGGTCTCCTGGAGAAGGGAATGGCAACCCATCCCAGCATTCTTGCCTGGAGAATTCCATGCATCGAGGAGCCTGGAGTGGTATAGCACATGGGGTCACAAAGGGTTGGACAAGACTGAGCAACTAACACTTTCACTTTCAATTCAGATCAACATATGGGTAGTTAAAAAAGGAATTAATACCCCTTCCTCAATCCCATTTCTGTCCTGTGACAACTACTACTATTATTACTATTACCACTACTATTAACATTGCTAAAGCATAAATTTGATGAAGCCAACACCATTATGAATTTTTAACAACTTCACTTGATACCGTGTCAAAATTCCTCTGTGTTTACTATAAGTTAAATTAAAAAAAGGCAGGGTTCAGTCCATTCCTATGAGTACAACACTGCACTTACACTTACCTTGGGATAATCCAATTCAAAGAATGTTTCCAAGTTGTTGATTAGGTTAGGATCTACTCCTTTCAGTGGTTTCAGAAGAGACACCCCTGGCAGCTTGCTATATGGCTGTTTGTCGGTTGCCTTCTTGTTGAGGTGTAGTCGGCTAAAAAGCAAATGATATATATATTAACATACATTTCTGGAGAATATCTTAGTGCCAAATCTATATAAACTACGGATCAAGCTACCAATAAATTACTGAATTCTAAGTTAAAAAAAAATTAATTGGCATCTTTTTAAAGGGGTGTCTGGAAACGAAAGAAAGTATCAATAGAACGAGCTAAGGCTCCAGAGAGGAAAACCTGAAGGAAGCAGAATGAATGTCCCAATGAAGGCTGGAGCTTAAGACTGTTGCTTTTTGCTGTATTCTCAGAAGCTAGAACTATGCCAGCCCTGGAGCAAGCATTCAATAAATACTTGGTAAGGAATGAATGACAGTGTTATTAGCCCACACATTAACTGCCTTTCCTCCCAAATCACCATCAAGGTGGCCAAAGAACTATAAAAAGAGCAGAAGGAAAAATCCCTATCTTCACCAGAAAAATATGGACGTGTAACCAGAAAATTTTGAGAAATTTCTGTAACAGTCCACACAACTAATTGAAAAAACTAGCAAGCCAGCCTGCATGGCAACCAAGGAAATGGGATACCCAGCAGAACTCCCAGTGTTCACACACGCAGAATGGCAGTGATGGAATGGAGGGAAACTGAAGGTAAGGGGAAAAGAAAAACAAAACCTCAGTGATGAGAGAAATGTCTATTAAGACACTGAAAGATAAACCAGTGCCACTGATTCCCAGATAAGCTGGCAAAGGCTCTCAGAGCTGCTCCAGCCCAAAGGGTGGGCAGCACAGCGTGCCTTAAGAGGGAAGCTTTGCCAATTAGGGAAGAGAGAATGTGTCCCAGTTCAGGCCAGGTGTGTCACAATAAAGGGCGTTTGAGGAGAGTGCTGAAGTTTCTAAAGGAAGTCACCAAAGGCATCTTCCCTCCTTCTCCTACGCAAGTCTCCAAGCACTAGACACTAATTAGATGCTGGAACGATCACAGGGCCATCTGCAGGGTATTTTAAGACACATTCTTCCACATTTTAACATCTCTGAAATCAATGGCATCTTACGATCGCTGGCAGCCAGATGGCAGCCCAGACTTAGCAGCACGGAAACCATCCTTTCTAGAAGATCAAGAAGATGCCCATATCAATGCATCTTGGGTTAGATGAAATATACTATTCATCTATGGGTGATTTCTGGAAGTTCACTAGTACCAATAGCCTATAACAGTTAGTCACAGGCTCACTCCTCCAATTAAGGCAGAGGTGTGCTGCAGCAAATATCTCATGTTTCAGATAAGACCATAATGTATCTTCGTGGAAAGAAAAGCAGGCGACTATCTACAATGGAAAAAAAATGTAAAGCAACACAAAAAATTTGAAAGAGTAGCACGGTCTTGGTTTCTGATCCACAACACTGGACGCCAGAGAGTAACGAGCACCATCTATAGCGGTGCTGTTCTGGGTGGCAGCGGTCCACAAGTTGCTTTATGCTGGCGGGTGATGAAAAGAAATGGAGAGAAAGTATTTAGAAACTTTTCTAGCACTTTGACATTGCCATGCCATCCAAGCATATGATCAGTCATTTATTTTTACTGCAGTTTACTAAAGCGTCAGTCCATGACAGATTGGAAAACTTGAAAAGAACTGATCCTTTGCCACAGACCAATCTGGCAAATACTGATCTATAGAGTTCATCCAGAGGGCTGGATGATCTAAAATTTATATAAACCACAAATATGATCACTATTCCGTTGTTAACAAAATCGTAGACTACATGTCTGGAGAAACCCACCCTGTAGAGAATATCAAGATGGCCGGGGGGGGGGGGGGGGGAAGTTTATATTTAATTGGTTGAAACAGTAATATATCCACATGGTTCAAATCACCAAAAATATTAAGACATTCATATAAAGTCTCCCTGTCATCTCTAACCCCCATCAGCCTTGTTCCCGTCACTACCACCCCCCCTCCCAGCATTATTAGTTTCTTACTTATCTTTTCAGAGATTTTTCAAAAATGCATACTAAGCCAAAACATACACACATGAAATTCTTATGTAATATTTATAATTTTCTCAGCTCTTTCTTAAAACAAGCACCCTAAAAGCATGTTTTAGGGACTTCCCAGGTGGTGCTAGTGGTAAAGAAGCCCCCTGCCAATGCAGGAGATGTAAGAGATGCCAGTTAGATCCTTGGGTCAGGAAGATCCCCTGGAGGAGGGCATGGCAACCCACTCCAGTATTCTTGCCTGGAAAACCCCATGTCTACATATGGTCCATAGTGTCGCAAAGAGTCAGGCACGACTGAAGCAACTTAGCACGACTTAGCACACATGCAAAACCATGTTTTTAGATATGTGACTAAACTGTTACAATAAAAAGGAAAATCTCCCAGCTCAGAAATGAAGAGAAACCTCTGAGTAAATGAGTGCTGGATACAATACTTACACTGGGACCATCTGCTGGTCTCTAGTGACCAAGAGTTGATGACAAGCCTGAGACAGGAATGACTGAAAATCTGTTCTGAGAATCTTGCAGAAATATGGAATCTTTGAAAGGCAAAGTAGAAAATTTCTGGCCCACAGAGGAAAGATGGAGATGCTGCCTAAACTGGATTCAGTCCAAAATAAAATGGAATAAAAGCAAAAAGTCTTCCTGGAAAACACCTGACTATGTGGGTTTTTGGACCCAGAACCCAGAACACAAACTGCAGGTGTTGCTTGAACAAAACCCAAGAGACAGAATGAGAGACCATCATATGTGACCATGAATACATGAAAAGAACCACATAACATCTAGAAATGAAAATGGTGGTCACTGACATCAAAAACTCAATAGATAGGCCATGGAGAAGTTGTATATACACAGTTCAAAAAACAACTGGAGAACTGGAATCAGATTTGAGGAAATTATCTAGATTACTGCACAGAGAGAATAAGAGGCCAAGAAACTGAAATCATGAAAGGGTTTGAGACATGGATGATAAGAGTAAGAAGTCTAAAATTCCAGTAGTTGCTATCTATCAGTTCTACTGTATGATCATTGAAAGTGAAAGTGAAGTCGCTCAGTTGTGTCCGACTCTTTGTGACCCCATGGACTGTAACCTACCACGATCCTCTGTCCATGGGATTTTCCAGGCGAGAGTACTGGAGTGGGTTGCCATTTCCTTCTCCAGAGGATCTTCCCAACCCAGGGATTGAACCTGGGTCTCCCGCATTGTAGGCAGACGCTTTACCCTCTGAGCCACCAGGGAAGTATGACCATTAAGTGCTATTAAACCAACAAAACATCCATGTAAGGTGATGGCCAATTACAGAGAAACCTAGCCCACTAACACACTGCATCTGGGGAGGCTTCAGATGAAAAACAACAACAATTTAAACTTCTAAACAGTCTAGTTTTGACTCTATTTTTTCCTTTTTCCTCTTTGTCTTCATTAAGACATCTTACTAATGCTACTATATTTACATAATGCTAATATAGATATATACCTCCTATCCTTTCATATCAAGAATGCAGCATTTTACCAAAGATAGACTGACCTGCCAAACCACCATGAAGTTTTCTTTAGGTTTATGGTGAAGTGAATTGCTGGTAAGTACCATGACTGAAATTTCTACTCAAGATTATTATAAGTCCAATTATATTACAGGGCCTTTAAAAAATTCTAATTTGTGCCTCCTCCCAATATCTATGTATGTATCTAGCCCTCTTCCTTCCTTCTCCCCTCCTCACAATTTTCTTTCCACGCCCCTTGCAGTATGCCAGCTAGGATACCAGAATACTACTCCAGAGAGCATTGTTTTGACTTAGGTAATACAACACACATATACAATCACATAGCACTCTGCTGTGTACACAGTGGTGCTCTACTAAGCACTCCCTTACTGAATAAATCTCTTTTGACTCCAAATGTGTATCAGGCATTATCCTATGCACTGGTGATAACACGATGAGAAAAGAAGTGTTAGTCGCTGAGTTGTGTCCGACTCTTTGAGACCCCATGGATTGTAGCCCACTAGGCTCCTCTGTCCATGAACTTCTCCAGGCAAGAACATTGGAGTGGGTAGCCATTCCCTTCTCTGGGGGATCTTCCTGACCCAGGGATCAAACCTAGGTATCCTGCATTGCAAACAGATTCTTAACCCTCTGATCCACCAGGGAAGCCCAAGGCACACTCCACACTGTCAAAGAAGTGGGATTTAATGGGGGGTGCCCACATACAGAAGCCTCTTCTACTCACTGAAATGATGCTGATGGGTACCTTGGCCTTGGCCATGGCTGGTGAGTTGGAAGCCAATCTGTGCTTTTCAAATTATGAACAACAGCCCATTTACCTGGAGTCTCAAAAGTGGAATCCCCCAAGGGGGCCAGTTTCATGAATGGCTTTGACAGAGCCCTGCTAGGTTCCCTGGTTTCAAAGCAGATTTTAAGGATCTCAGGTCAGGGTTTCTGCGTTACCTAGACGGCATGAACGTGAGCTTACAGCTCCCACACCTTGCACAAGATTTCCTGTGGGTGCCTGTTTCCACTCTTAGCCTGAGCAGGTGATATGCTTCCTTCCAGGATCCTGGGATCCTTTTTCAGTTTCAGCTGCCATCCTGGGAATCCACTTCTACCTTCCCCTCATGCATTTGCCTTGCAACCTTGATGTTTTTGTAGGGGGGTCAGGGAGTACTTTTTTTTGCTACATAACACATAAAGATACATGAAAGTACACAGCTCACTGAATTTTCTCAAAGTGAAACACCCATGGAAACTGTAGCCAGATCAAGAAACAGAGTCTTAGCAGAACCCCAGAAGCCTGTGCGTGCGTGTCCTCTTCTACTAACTACCCTCTCCTCAAGGTAACCACTATCCTGACTTCAAGTACCAGAGACTAATTTTGCTGGCTTGAAAATCTATCTAAATGGAGTCCCGCAGGATGCACTCTTCTGCATCTGGCACCTGAAGACACACTACAGTAGGCTAAGTCTCCAGGGTCCAACAAAACAATGATATATAGTGTGTTCTCAAAGTTTTTTAATTTTATTTTTTAATTGAAGTATAGTTG